CACATTCCTTTCCACGTCTGGAAGGTGTTCTCGAAATCTGTCACCTAGTCTTCTGCCTGTTTCGCCGATGTATATCTTTTTGCAATAAGTGCAAGTTATGCAATAGATTACATTGGCGGAGGTGCACATGAAGTGATTGGTGATCTTAATGGATCGTTTAGGTCCCGATATTTTATCAGTGTTGTGAATGAAAGGACACGTTTTGCATCGTGCACGAGCGCATTTAAAAGCGCCTGGTTGGTCATTAGTCTGAAAAGAACTTCTGACCAAACGGGACAAGAACAGGCAATTTAGCTACTTAGGTAGCACGGAAAGCCGTAAAAATCTTGAACTAAAGCTCATCTTTCAAACCGGCAGTCTAAATCCCACAGGGATCAACGAACGCTTTTCATTCCACTAATTTATTCTTGTTTTTCTCGTTGGCATGTTCCCACCAATAACGTAGCTCCATTTTCTGCCTTTAAAAGCACACACAACCCACAATTCCCCTATTCGCTCCGATGAAGGGCTAACGCTCGAAACGTCAGCCTTTGTAATCGTTACGGTGGCCAATTTACCATTTCAACTTTGTTGATATATCCAAATTGTTTGTGTCTAGGCGTGCCCAACAAGAACTTTTGCAGGAGGCAAAAAGAGCAAAATCAAGGGCAGAAGAAGTAGGACCTGTGGGATGGTAAGCAGTACAATCATCAAATACTTTTTTATTTCAAGTTATCTTGATTTGTCGTAGCCTTGCAGATCAATTATTTGTAGAAGCAGAAGCAAAAGGTCGAGTGAATTATAGATCTACTCTCAACTTTATCCAGTGATGATTCAATAAGAAAACATTAAATGTTGTATGGAGGCTGGTGGCTTGGTAATCCCAGAACACACTGAACAATTGCTTGTAGATTAAAAAATCTCCCAAGGCTTTTGAGTAACTGTTAAAAGCTGAATAACAAAGACTTAACCAGGTGATCAAAGATATGAGAGTTCTTGTATTATCAGTAGAGGATTATACTATCCTGCATAAGGCTATGATTGTGATTGACCCACTTTGATGTTTTTGAAAGGAAAAACAACTGTATAGATTAGAAGTGAATTCAGTTGTATGAATGGGGTAGTGAATTTTGTCAATGGATCCTGATACAGCAATTGTCACTTCATTTCAGTGAGTGATGATGCTTTACTAAATTGCACTTATTTTGTTCATGTGTTTGTAAGGCAGAGATGCCCTCTTCCAGCAACAAACAAGAGGTTTCTTCACAATGTATTAGCAAGTACACTTGAACCAAGGAAAAAGAAATCCAGAAAAACAGGTACAGATTGGTAATGTTTAGGTGTAGTATGACATACATCACTGGAAAGTTAGCTTGCCAAAAATCTGTGAAACAAGTTTTTCAAGTTTGCAACACCCATCTGTCCATCGCTCAAAACTGTTGGTACCAAGTGTGTGCCCTCAAGTGGTTACAGTTGCAGCAGATTGTAAATGTTATTCTTATTTTATTTTCTGTCTTTGTCAGATACATCTCTATTTTCTCTCTTATTTACAGAAAGCTTTGAAACCAAGAAAAAAATAAAAAGTTGGGAGCCAGTGCACAAGGAAAGATATGAAAAAAGACCTAGCAAGGACAACAAAACACCTAGCAAAGAAGGACGCAAACCCAACAGACAAAATTCAAATAAAAAACATTTCAACTCACGAGAAAATGAAAACCTGCATGCTTAAGTGTTGTGTCACAAACTAGTGCATTCAACTTCCTTGCTTAGCTTTCACTCTGTGATCATTTCAGGTGGAATAAATGCTCTTTACCAAATAATTAAAAGCACCCAGCTTCAAGCCAGCCACCTGCTTTGAATCAGTACAAAAACTTGTTTAATGTGCTCTTGATAAGTGCCATGCTCAAGGAAGAACAGAATGCTTAATTTAACTATAGTAATTACATTACATTAGCATGGTAGTAGTACAGAAAAAGTGAACAATTTTTTTTGACACAGACATTTTGGCTCCTTATTTAAAGTTGTTTGGAAAATTTGTGTTACTTGGTTATTGATTTGACACAGAGACAAATTGATGCATTAATTGTTAGTAGGAAATTACTTTTTTTTTTCTACCTTCTCTGAAGAAACTAAACACTAAAGAAAATTAAAGTTAAAGTAAAGAACACTTACTATCAAATATTATGTTATTCTTACTATTATCATTCAATCACACCATTTACTAAAACATCTCTAGTAAACCCAAGTTACAATGAAAAAAATTTGTTGCCAAGCGAAACAGAACCTGACTTTTGGGTATGGCAATGACCAAGTCATCCTTGGTGCCTTATGGGCTGGGAAGAATTGAGGACCTGATGGTCCAGTGCAAGAAGTGGGTACTGCAATCTTAAAATAAATAATTAAATTATTGACTCAGTGAGGCTCACTGTATTGAACAATTGACATCATTAAAAATAACTTTGTATTAAAATTTTTGAAACAAAAGCAAATGTGGTCATTTGTTCCCATAGTTACAATTCCTGAAGTGAACACCAAAAGATCATCTCTTGCTAAACTTGGTGGAATAGAGCTCATGTCGCACACTCTTGAAATCACTGCACTAAAGAGTGAGGACTGAAGTCCACTTTATTTTGTAAAAAAAAAAAAACAGTCAAGAATACACATATAGATGATCAAATAGATTCTTATAAGACTCCAGTACTTCTTTCCCTGCCATTTCTCCTATCTTCCTTGTATACGTACACTTAGGGGTGCCCTCATTACGATGGTTCACTTTTGCATATTCATTTATTTTGCATATTAGAGGAGACTGCTGTGAGAACCAAGAACAAATTCAACAAAATGAGGTTCTGCAATAAGAAAACAAGATAATAATGATTTAGTACATTGTTTACCACAGGTAACATCTTTACAACTTATTCAAACCAAAACAAAATTCACTTCAAATAATTTTAAACATACTGTTTGGCTAAGATTATGCCAAACAACAGCAATCATGTGTTAAATCACATAAGAAACCAAGCCAAAGTATCGACGGGGAAATAAAGGAGCTGATCTTAAATGAACAGGTGTTGTGTTACCAAAAATGTGTTGTTTTTTGTCTGGAACCAGAAAAATAGTTTGGACACTGAAAACAAACACCAAAGAAATAAGGAAGGGCGAAAAAAAAAAAAAAAAGGAATGAGAAGGAGAGAAATTCCAATAGATGATGAAAGACTTCAAAACTTTCTATGTTTTTTTGTGCCAAGATATTCAGATGGGAACTCTGGCAATTGTCCTTTTAATCCTTAGACATTTTTCTTTTTGTAGATCTGTAAAAATTTCAGGAATTTAAATGATCTGCTTATTAAGGTTAGCCTCAATCTTTCACTAGAAAATCAAATAACTGAGAAACACAAACTGATTTTCACTAATCATGTGAGGTTAAAAGCTCACCACTGTCTGGTGTAACAAAGCCATGACGGACCATAAAGTCAAGAACTACAAGAGCGCAGTTAGGCTTAAATTCCTCAGTTGCTATTCTTGCCTTCACCTGTACAAAGAAAATAAAAATTATTAAACAAAAAGACAAAAAAATTTGTAAACTCTAGGAAGGTGCTGTCCAAAGTCCTCTTCACACTTCTATGGCTATTTAAACATTTCAATAAAAACATACAGTTGAGACCTAATTTACACCTGACTGTGGCAGTTCAAAAAAGAACTTAGCAATGGAATGCAAGGAATGAAATTCAAATATATCTGTCAACAACATTAGTTCACTTGAAGTCCAAAAGATATAGCCTTCCATACAGCAAATTTAGCATTTCTTCCCAATGCAATACCCACCATGATAGATAGAAAGAAACTAAACTGATACATACACACTACATGTACCTTGGCCATAGGCCAGCAATAAAATTCACCAACTTCCCCATCACTGTTGATTGGTTGAAAATCACGAGGCAGCTTCAAATCCCAAACAAACTGGACTTCAGGAAACAATCCTCTCTCATCCTCAAAGAAGTAGCTGGTGAAAAGAAAAAAAAGTAGTTAAAATCAAGTATCAAAATTAACTATACATTGGACAACTTATTAAAAAAATTGTTTTCCTTTGTCTGAATGATTTACAAAAACAAAATAAAGAAATGATAACAAAGAACATTTAAGTAAAAAAAAAAACACTGATTCAGAAGTGCTTAAACAGAGTGTTATACCCACAGTTGACATTCATTCAAGTTGCGGAAAGTTTTAGGTCATGAATCACTTTCAAGACTGGAAACTTATGCTCAGACAACCTGTGATGGTATAAGTATTGACTGAAAGGAAAATTTTCAAGAGGAGTTTATCTACCTGACACAACCAGCTGAAGAAGCTGCTTTAGCAAGTTCTTGTGGTATTGATGCCTCTTCTGCACATTCTCTTATAAGTGTCTCCTGAATTCCTTCACCACAGATTATACCTCCTGCCACCTAACCATGCACAGAAAGGCAAGGTGAGCTTACAATACTAATAGGAAAAGACATTATAAATTAAAGCTAGTTGATAAACTAAATAATTCTAGAAATTTTGAAAATGAAAATAAAGATTTGCTTTTTTACACTGAGATTTCCTTGTAATTTGGCATCTCAATACAGAGCTCAGGATAATAAAAAACTATTAATATGGCATCAAAATTATTACCAGGTGGAGATAACTTTAAAAGTTTTTTGATAACACGGAATTAACATGGAATGAACATATTTCTGCTATAAATTTACAGGGAAAGCAAACTCTTCCCTCGGCTTCTTGAGAAGAAATCTACTATATAACTGCCCCGAACAGATCAAGACGCAGGCATATTATTCTTTAGTTAGACCCCACTTGGAGTATGCATGCTTGGTGTGGGACCCTCATACACAAAAGAACATTCAATTAATTGAGAAAGTTCAGCACAGAGCAGCTTGTTTTGTTACGAAATACAATCAGCGCATACCAGGTACCATCACAAGCCTACTAGGGGAGCTAAAATGGCCATCATTGGAACAGAGAAGGTGACAAACAAGATTAATAATTAACCTTTTATAAGATTGTAAACGGCACCCTGGCAGTAGAAATTCCAAATTACTTCAGGCAGGAGAAACGCCAAACAAGAAATTATCACCCACTTAAGTTTATAAATACTGGTTGCAGGACTTTAATATTTCTAAAGATAGCTTTTTTACCAGATCCATTAAAGTATGGAATGAACTTCATGATACAATTATTGAAGCTGCCAATACAGAGGCCTTCAAGCTTGCCCAGGCCAGGCCCCATTGAGCATTTGAACATGTTTGTTTTTTTTTTATTCTTATATCACTAGCACACACTCACTGCACTGTTTTTAAGCACACACAGCACAATCACAGCATATATCTGCTTCAACTCAACTTTGGGCTGTAGTGCCCTTTGCAGATCAGACATTTAGATTAGATTTAGATAACATTATTGTCAAAACTCTTAGGGAGAAAGTAACCATTACACAGACCAAAATCAATGTTTTATCGTTTAATTAAAGGAAAGCTTTGACGATGTGGCTAAAAGTGGGACAGGAACATGAGATGTGGGACGTGGGACGTGGGACTCTGGGACGTGGGACTTGGCGAGGTGGGACTTGGGGAGGTGGGATTTGGGGATGTAGGACTAGGGGATGTAGGACTCGGCGACATGGGACTCGGGGACTTGGAGACTCTGAGACCCAGGGATGTGGGACGTGAGGAAGTCAGGATTCAGTGATGTGCGGGGACTTGGGGACATGATAAACAAACAGCACCTGATTTTTGCACTGATTTGTTCAGTATAATTTTCAGTGGTCTCGAGAAATGTATTGTACTACTAACACAGGTAGACATTTTTTTTGGAGAGGTGCATAACAGTTGCCATTAGCAACAACAAACAAAACTGAGGTGTCTACATTCAATGATCTGATGATGATCGTAAAGAATAAATTAGAGTGTCCACAATTTATTCCTGATGAAGAATTGCGGATTTAGAAGAACTCCAGTGTTTACAATTTTTTCCTGATGAAGAATTAATAAATTAGAGTGTTAACAATTTATTTTACTTTCTTTTCTTGAAGATTGATGTGAACTTACTACACTGGACGCAAGTTGCGATTACTTCATGACAAAAGTATCCTCATTATCCCTGTATTGAATCTGCAATTCTTCCTCAGGAATAAATTGTAAATACTCTCATTTATACCTTACAATTTGCATCAGATCATCGAAGGCAGACACCTCAGTTTTGTCTTTTGTAATTGGTTCACATCAATTTTCCGGAAAAGAAATATTATAGAATACTTTTAGCTGGATGATGTTATATAATTTACTAAACGAAAGCGGATAAACTACAATGGACAACAAAAGCGCGGGCAAAGAAATGCAAAGGAACATTATCATGTGCTTTTGCCTTTTGTGTTAACATAGCTTTTTAGTCACGTGACCAAAAATGATCTACCTGTTTCAGTGGTATAATACCTTTCTCGAAGCTACCGAAAATTATAATTTACAGATTCAGCACAAAAATCATCTGTTGTTTGTTTATCACATCCTTGAGTACCCACACATCAACGAGTCACGATTTCCTCACGTTCCACGTCCCCAAGTCCCAGCATCCCCAAGTCCCACCACCCCGAGTCCCACATCCCCGAGTCCCACGACCCCGAGTCCCACGTCCCCGAGTCCCAGCATCCCCGAGTCCACAACCCCCAGTCCCGCCACCCCAAGTCCCGCCACCCCGAGTCCCACGTCCCCGAGTCCCACGTCCCTGAGTCCCACGTCCCCGAGTCCCACGTCCCCGAGTCCCACGTCCCCGAGTCCCACATCCCCATCCCACTTTTAGTCACAGCCAGCTTTGACTATATTCATCAATTAGCAATCATGCATTATCTTTCAAAGTGATAAGAAGACAAAGTAGAAATATTGGAGAGCTTGCCAAGAGCTCACCACTACATTCTCTGGTCTTGTCAGCAAGCACTTGTCTGCTTTATTACAGAAACAAACCAGATTATGGATTGCACTACAAATGATCAATGATTATTTGTACATTAATTAAGTCTCATAATGACATCAAAACATAATTTTTAACTAATTTGGCTGATTTATGTAAATTATACTTTCAATAATAACAAGCGTTTTTCAGTGCAAGGCCTGATTAAATCTTAAACAATAGCTCAATGCTATGTTATGTTATGATAACCCCATAAACAAAAGAGGCAATGCTAAAGATCACAAGAAATTAATAAGCCACTGAATTCTTATATTCATCACAAAATTACAGAAGCTGGTTCATTATGAGTAATCTGCTGGAGGAGCAAACAGCTTTTTAATTATCACTTCTCACATAGCTGCATTGGTTCACTATAAAAAGATTAGTTGTCTATAACTCTAGAATGCAATGTTGAGTGATAAGTGAGTCAGCACATCAAGTTATACTGACTATTTTCATATCTTTTATTTGTACAAATTTCACTTTTTATTGACTACATTCAGTTCTGATAATTTTTAATTTTTCATCATTTTATTAACAAATTTTTACACGGCTCCAAAAGCTATATTAGCTTAAAAACCCACTATGTTTAAATAAAAGATGTTGTTGTTGTTAGTTAACTTCTGATGGTCTGTCATTATTGAGCCAGCTTGGCTTGAATACTGAAATTTACCCTAACAGGAAGTCACTCAGAACTAAATATCATGTATAATATTTCCCACTGGTTAGAAACACTTACAATCTGATCAAGTTTGCCAGGCCAGGTTTGTTTTGTAGGACTTCTTCTTGCTATCCACATTAACATTTTCCCATTTTCATCTATACAATATCCATTCACATGAACACCATACTGCACAGTTCCTAGCAAACCTGCAGTACAATACCACAAAAGAGATCAAAAATTACTTCATAAATTAAACAAGATGTGATGCAACTTGTATTAAGCAGAGGCATAAGGGACTCCTCCTGGTCAGAAGTGAACTGGATAGAAGGTTTTTATACTGACAATAAAATAAAAAGCTGCAACATAAACAACAGTTGGGCAGCCAAGCAACTTGTGCAGAATCAAGAGGGTAGTAAGACAAACCTGCCCTCTAGCCCCTTATCTTTTTGTTCTAGCAGTCGAAGTTCTTGAAGAAAACAAGAGAAAAGATAGAGAAAATGAGAATATTAAAGGCATCTTTATCAAATGGTATGATGTTACTTTAAGATGGATAAAAGAAATCCCTAACAGCTCCTTTCAGTTTAATTGACAACTTTGGCAAAGCTTTTGTATTTAACTTAGCAGAAAGAAAACAGAAGCTCCTTGGACTGGTGTCAACAGCAGGAAGGATGAAAATTTCCTTCCAGAAAGAAATTTAAAATAGCAAATATATAAACAGTATATATTTGCCATACATATGGCTCTTAACAGGTCCCGTATGGTAGTGGATCTTTTTAAACTACACTGAAGAATTAGAAAAAGTCTGAAATATCTCAAGCAACTGGAAACATCACATAATTACTCTCTCAGGTAAAATCATGTTTCTAAATTTCCTTTTTGCCAAACAATTTGATTACATTCTGACCCCTACAATCAAACAAGAAAATAATTAATGAAGGTACCACACTATTTTATTCTTTTGTTTAGAATAGAAAAGGCAACAAAATTGAAAGCACAAAGATTAATGAGTATGCAGAAGGTGATTTAAAAATGATATATATTTAATCTTTTATCAAAGCTAAATGGATTAGAAAATACCCATATAGATACAGCTAACCAAGGTAACTGGATTTTTTTGTTTGTTCAGAAACAAAATTTGATAGACCCATAACCTCCAAAAGCCAAATTCTAGAGCAAAGACTTTAGTACAACTTGATTAGAAGAATTGATGAACACCCCATTGTATTCAATGTACAACACAACCATGGTATTCGCAAAGTACAACACCTCAATGATGATAACAACTTCCTCATTCTACAAGACTTTTAATTATGCCTTTAGCATAAAATTTATGGAATCAATGGTGCAGAAATTTTAACACAAACATAAAAAACAAATATGTAAGCCCTATGACAATAACTGAAATTTATAAACCATAGCAGACTCATTAATAAAAAATTTATTGCAGAAAAGAAATATGTCCCAATCAAAAGAAAGCTGAAAGTAGATATGCATTGAATGCAGAATCAAACTATGTAAATTGTAAGTTAGCCTATATCATTGTACATAAGGTACAAAACTTAGGGAATTCCAATTTAAACTTTGCATCGAAGGATTCCAACAAATGACTTCCTAACTTAAAATTAAAGAAGTAAAGGAAAACCTACAATGAGTATCCTGAGAACCTCCTCCACTTCTTATGGAGATGCTCCAGGACTAAATGTTCTTGAGAATGACTAGTACTTCCACTAAAACACCATCAAATTGTACCTGATTACAACGTTTTAGAAAAACTGTGACAATAGGACTAAGATCAGATTCATTCAAATTTACATGTCAACTTGCTTTTTGTTTCCTCAAAGCTAGATATTAGATCTGGCTCTACAAAACAAAAGAATCTATTCTTGAGCTTAATAGTTTCTTAGTTTATTTCTTTCTATCAATGTGCACTATAAAAGAAATAACTTTAACAAAATGTGAGAACAAAAAAACCACAATTTCTAGGCATTCTAAAACTTCAATTTAATAAACAAATATCCGGTACTTGTTTCTCCTCTTGCTTTGTAGCCCAGTGCCCCTCCTCCCAGTGTGAACTTCTCTTTCCCTTTTACCTCTTCTGGTTGATTATTCTTCCCAGTGCAATCAGTGTTGTTTACTGCAGGTGGATTAGTCCATTTAATACTTACTGGTATTTAATTTATTATCTAACTGATTAATTTATTCAATAGTCAATTAATTGATTTATGTTTTTTTCACATACAATTCTCTTCTCATAAGGGAAAACCTTTTTAACATAGTAAGTAGGTATAATGTACCATTGGACCATCTAACCTTCCTAACTACTTTATTGGTAAAGAAAAATAAGACTAAACAACATAAAATTATGTAACTGTTAAATAAGCATGTTACTTTGTAACTATGCATTGTAAATAGGTGCAGTTTATCACCTGATCTTCTTGATTACCTTGTTAGTATTGCAAGCCTTTCATAGTGATAAAGGAGTCAAAGGAGTCAGTAGTGTCCACCCAGTGTGCCATTTCTTTTGGTAAATTGCACAATTATAGAAGTTTACTGTTAATTAGACCAAAAGCACAGAGGGACTAGCAACCTCTCAAATCTTGCTTTAGCAATTAGAGTTGCATTTAAAAGTAATCTTAATTTGTTGAAGGATAAGAAAGAAACTCACATTTCACCGTGGGCTGTCAGCTAGGCACAAGTTATATATAACGATCACAGAGTGACCTCCTCACACTTGTTCCACAAGAGTAGGGGTCAGAGGCGATAAAAACTTTGTTTATGGATTATCCAAAAGCTTGTTCAAAAGTGCAGTCTCCTCCTTTAAAAACAACACTAAAAAATTGGTGGCCCAGTGTAAAAACAGGCCCAGTTGTTCGAAAGAGCAGATAACTCTAATGGATAAATCACTATCCAGCAGATAAGCATTAACAAAATGGATAGAGATTTATCAAAATGGATAGAGATTTATCCAGTGCATAGTGTTATCCATCCTTTTGTGCGTCTGCGTGTTTAAAAGTACACACACAGACACACAACATGACAGAGTGGAATAACATATACGCATGCACTAGGTTTTGCCATGGAAACATGGAGTTTGAGCCGTTTGCATGGTTGATTTCCTATTCTGTTGCTTTGAGGCGCCGTTTTCCTTGCCACTTTTCTTTTACAGGACAACCTCCAAAAACTTGAGTACACCCCTAAAAATTTGCAAAAATTAATTTTCTCCTTAAAATCTCTGGAAATAAGAAAATGCCTTCAATGAAAACAGAGTTCCTCAGTTTTAAAAGTCAGCCCTTATCATTTTCCGATAATTTTGCTAAATTTTAGACCTAGAACACTTTGAGCCCACATTGTTCAACAAATACCCTCTGATGTAGCACTTCATTATTCAGCTTTGTCACACCACAACCGAAAATCACAACCAAGGAATAATATGCAAAAGTATTCACTACACTTAAAACTGTTAAATAAATTATGACAGAGGGTTTAACTTTCACTTCATGTGAAACTTATTTAAACTCTTAGTCTTACAAGCAATATATAGCTCAGTTTCATACTTTTTGTGTAACATAACCTTCAGGAGATCAAAGGTGGGTTTCATGTGTTTCCTTCTGCACTGATTAATTACAGATTTCCCACCACAACACAATAATTTAAAAAATGATTGACAACCCTACAGTTGATACACTGGCTTAAAAGTGAAACAAAATTAGTTGTCTTCTACCAGTCAAAAACATCTCTGCTTATGTTTTCTATTGTCTAACATGAAAGATTATTTGAAATCAATGGTTGGCCTTTTGCTTTCTGTAGTTTGATTTCATGGATCAAATCACTAACTTGGCTTAATGCCAAGGAAAGATCCTGGTGGCCATTAAAATGGGCAAAGTCTGTCAGTTGCTCTGCCACTTTCTCTGCCTCTGATATTGTCCTTATAGCTGGTTGTTTCGACTCTGGGTCATACTCGTCATCTCCTCTAAAAGACCTTTCCTCAATTCTGGGTGCTCTCTCATCTGCCAGGCCATTTGTAACATCCCAACCTTTTTCCCCCTCATTAAGCAGCTGATCACGTAATGACTTCCTCCAGTTTGGATCGGAACTTTCAATGTTACCGAGGCATACTTCAAGTTGATTCTCTGCCGAGATATATGCTTCAGCATCACCAGAGCCAATCTTGTTGATTAGTTCTTGAAGCTGCCCCAGCTCATCTTCTCCTTCAGGGGTATTATCTTCCTCCATGATTTCTTCTGGGTAGAGCCTTGTCTTCTTGAAACATCTTATGATTGTTTCAGGAGACACCTCGTCCCAAGCTTGTCGTCCCCACTGAATAGCCATAGAGATATCTACAGACTTGATGACCTCACTGGCACTTTTGCCTTGACTCACCTTGGAGCACACATAACGAAGCAGCCGATTTTTGAACTTCACTTTCCAGTTTGTAATGATGCCAGCCTCAAGGGGCTGAGTCTTTGATGTTGTGTTATTGGGTAGGAAATTGATGCCAATATTTGAAAACTTTCCAGCCAAGTCAAGGGAGTGGCATGGAGCATTGTCCAAGAACAGTAAAATACTTCTCTTCTTTTGAATCAAGGTTTCATTGAGTTGAGACAAGACATCAGTCATTATTTCTTTTGTCATCCATGCTTTCGAGTTTGCAAAATAGTAGCATTGGTAAAGTCTTTTAGTATCTTTTAGGTTCTTGAAACAACGTGGCTTCAAATATCTACCAATAACAATTGGGTCTTCTTTTTCTCCAGCAGCATTAACAAAAAATACCCATGTGGTCCTCTGATTGGCTTGCTTTCCGCCAATGTTACATTGCTTCCTCTTATTGTTTAAGCTAGTTTCGGGTAACCCTCTCCAAAAGCTCCCAGTCTCATCCATATTCCACACATCCTCCGGCTTCCATCCCCTAATAAACTTTCTGACCTGTCCATTCCAGCTTTCAATAGTTGCCTGATAAAGGTCTTCATTCTGGCCTGCTTTAGTGATACTGCAAATATTGTAGTGTTTCTTGAATGACTCTAGCCACCCATTAGATGCAGCAAAGCCACTGATGCCCAATTTTTCTGCAACCAACAAAGCTTCCTCTTGAAGCATTGTTCCTGAAACAGGAATGTTTAAGTTGCTGCAGATGACATACCATTGCCACACTACCTCATTGACTTTTGAGTACCTTGCAGAACGGCCTCTCTTTCGCTGATTTGACTGAGAATTCCTTTCATATAACGCCAGTATCTCATTCCTTTGTTTTAAGATTTTATGTGCCTGTGTCCTCCCAATGCCAAACTTTTCAGCAATCTTACGGTACCCCTCCTTTGGATGATCTTTCGCATACACGATCACCTCAACTCTCTGCTGTAAGCTTAAGCATTTCCGCTTCTCCTGGACTTTTTTTTTAATGCCATCTTGACTTTTCATTTGAGATGTACTTGGCTTAGCGTCTTCTTTTCTGGTGAGTGAGGCTTCTGTTTGGTTAATTTCTTCTCCATCCTTTTCGTCGGCGGTTTTAAATGAACATGTCGAACAAAATGCCACCCTAGAACCAGCCTTCCAGTTCAGCGTTTCTTCAGGCGCCGCAACAGAGCATTCTGCCCTGTTACATACAGACGCTTGGCAACTTAAACAGTTATAGTTTGTCTCCAATTCACAAATCCAGCAAAGCGGCATGACCGTTGTAATCGCGCAAAGAAAGCAAGCTAAATTAGACGTCCATTATGATCGATCGCAATTTCAATTTCACACAGAAATTGAGACAATTATAGGAATTTGAATGAGACAATTTTAGGGATTGAAACGATGTTGCAGAAGTTCAAGTGGCGAAAGACTTGAGAGAATGCGAACAAATCAATCAATCCAACTATCAGATCATCCAACCAGCATGGAACAAATCCATGGAACATGGAAGAACCGAGTGATCGAAGTACAGGACAGCGGTCAAAACATAAAACAGGTGGTGTAAGCCCCAAGAGTTTTCAAAAGGATTATCATTTGTTGAAGATCGAAGGAGCTTTTAGGTACTGCGGCATTTCCGAATTTTATTTAAGTATTTGAGAGTGCCATTAAAAAGCTCTTTTTAAATTTGTAACAAAAAGGCGAAAGCAGGAAAATTAATGATTAATACAAGCCCTTTTAAATCTGTCACTTTTGCTTCTTAATCTTCCCAAACGTTTAATACTCTCATCTAAACACACCTACAAATCAAAGAAAGTGCAAGGTACTATTATAAATATTTCATGAAAAACTTTTGTTTACGTTTTGATGCATTGCTCTCAAGCTATGTCAAAAGGTCAAATGGTCAGGGCCTAATAAGGTCCATTCCAAAGATGACAGCAAACATCACTTAAAATTAGGGAAACTGCCCATTTTTTTAAAAAAACATTCAAATGGCATGAATTAACTACTTTGAGTGCCATGTTTTCTTCACAAATGAAAACTGGTGGAACTTATGCAAAAAAATATTACAAACATGTCCTCAAACTTGTTGACATACCCTAAGTAGTGGTTTTCCCAAGGAAATTGATTTCAGATTTATTCAAAGATTCTTAGTGTCTCAAAAGTTGTCTCAAGTCTTCTTATTTTTATTTGACATACCTCAGAATTTCACAACTAACCAAAATTATTGTGTACTATTAACCATTGATGAATGGGAATAACAGCTGCAAGATTAACATCTCACCTGAACAAGTTGAGCGATGAATATGATGTAATTGGGTGTGTTCCTTAACTTGTGGCAATATGGTTGACTAAGTTTTTAAAGAGGCCATTCAATTCTATAAAGGTCTTCGTTAGAGGGAAACACTAAACCAAGTTGGTGGTTGTGTCCTTAAAGTGCCTTGTCATTATCATTTTCAAGGCGACAACTTCTTGTGCAAATGGCTGCACAAGAAATTAATCCTAGAACAGTTCCATGTGCAAATGCATTGAAGTCATTTAAAAACTAAATACTAGCAATGATTCTGAGAGGTGAATATGGAATATATTTTAGTTGAGAGATTATTCTTTGTTTTATTTGAGTGGTTCTGATCTAAGTGGCTGTTCAATACATGTGGAGACGATACAAACAGGCCACTGGGACTCAGGATGACCACAACCTCTTAATAAAGGTCAATTTTACAGTAATAGGCTATTCTACAGTTGTGTACTTAGTTGCCAAGCCTTTGATTCAGAGTGAGGCTAAAGATGACCTTGTTGTGATAGAGACCTGTATCTAGTTAGCATGATAACAAAATGATTTACATTTGAAAGGTAGAAAGGTTTGTATCATAACAAGGTCATCTCTAGCCTCACTCCCGTCCAAAGGCTTGGCAACCAAGCACACAACTGTAAAATGGACTATTAATTAAGGAGAAACAATTTTGGGAATTTGATAACAGGCTGCTTGAAACTGGGTGGCCGCTTAATAAAATGATGCTGCTTTGAACAGGTGCAACTATATATGGTGTCCATGTCTAATTAATAGAGGTGTCCACTGATTACTGGTTCATTTTAAGCTAATTGGTGGATAAAACTTTAGAACTTAATACAAAGTATCTCTCTGATACAAGGTGTCTTCTTTAATATAGGGTTTGTCCCATACAGGTGTCATTGCACTAGAAACACCCATACCAGTAACACTGACTCCACTGCCTATAACTCAGTCCTGCCTGGGGGATTGCCAAAGAATATTTCTAAACTATGCACGTCCAACCACAAAAATGTTGACAATATAATTACAGTTCATAAAATCGTAGGTACTAAAAGTTGGAATCACCTGAAACCACCTGAAACCATCTGAAACCATCTGAAACCATCTGAAACCACTGATGAAACCACCTGAAACCATCTGAAACCCCCAAGGAAACCATCTGAAATTACCTGAAAATATCTCGAAACAATTTAAACAACATGAAAGCACCTAAAAAAATACGGGTAACATCAGAAAATAAGTGTTAACAATCAAGTTTATCCACAGGGAGCCCAGCTTAAGGATATTGTATATAATGCCCTACAGTACAGAATAGGCACCACAAACAGGTCTTCAAGGAAACATTCCATTGTTCTTGTTGAAAACACACTCAATTAGCTCATGAATGGCTGGGAGTTGCACGGGAATATGCGAATTATTTCTTGACAAAGCACTTACGTGACAATAACAACATGCGATTGTGAATGTAAAGAAGAAACTGTCTTAAATTGAAAGAAATACGTGAAGTTTCTTCAACGGGATCATGCAAATTATATATGAAAAAGCCCAGGAAAGCCTGAAGATTTTCAAACTTCCTAAGGAAATTTTGAACATTGTGTTTCTTTTTCATCAGAGACGAATTTATAGCGTGACCTAGAATTTCACTGACTTTGTTTTTGCAAAAGTGAAATATATGTGGATTTTTTACAAGGTATTCTTCTGCAAATGACAGAATATAGCTGATAAATGGTGGCTTTAACTTTCACTGCCTAAGTAAATTTCAAGTGGTTTCATCGATGGTTTCAGATGGTTTCAGATGGTTTCAGGTGGTTTCATCGGTGGTTTCAGATGGTTTCAGGTGGTTTCAGGTGATTCCAACTTTTAGTACCTACGTTCATAAAATACTAACAAATATATAATACTTACAAGTTGCTGACCTTTCCATCATAAAGCATGGTTTGGTATCAAAGGAAGCCATCACAGGGTACATCTTCATGTCAAATAATATTATCAATAATGATTAACCTTTTAACTCCCTGGATGTTTTTGCTATTTCTCCCCTCTAGCTGCTACATATTTCCTTGTGAATTAGTCATGAGAATTTGATGTTGAATCAGGATTTTTTGCAATTTTCAATTGACCGTATCCAAACAAATGGTGATTTGCAAGAGTTTTAAAACAGTTTGTGTGCAAACCTGTGTTGCTGTTGAGGATTTGGCTGCCAAACAATGAAATTATTGGTCCAGGAATCAATATCCCATGATAGTAATAACTATCTAGTTTGTTACTCTGTCTCAGCCCTTGGTTTCAACTGAGAACAAAAAACCTTAACCTGGATATTTATATCTGCAGAAGATGGGCTGTACTGCCCTTTGCAGATCAGACATTTAGATTTACTCATCATCATGCTAGACATGAAAATAAAGTTTGTAAGAAAGAGCACTTGCCTCATTTCTCCATCCTCTTAAAGTGCTGAACACATCTTTTAATCTCAGACTGTTCATAACCTCAGCAACCTTTTGACTTCTTTCTGTAAAAGTCTTAAGTCCTGGAGCCAAAGTAACATGACGTATTTCACCACTGGTTCCCGGAACCATTTCAAATACTTCATCATAAGACTTTAAATAACTGGCAATTTTTGGTGAAATATAACCCACTTGGACACCATCAACAAGGAATGGTTTGCAAAGGGACTTACAGGAACCTATCAACAAATAAGATTGAAAGAATTTTAAAACTAAAATTGTAGCACATAATGTTGAAGAGCCGGTGAGACCTGAAGTTATAACTGTTAAAAAGAAGCCTGGAAAAAGTAAGGCTTTGATAGGATTTGAGCTTGTGCCTCTCTGACACTAGTAGGGTGCAACTACTAACTGAGCCATGAAGCCACATGTAAGCTGTAAAGTATTCATGGGTCAAGTGATAAGTCACACTCTCATTCCTTTTATTCAACTGCCATTTTTATTCCATGATCGAGATAGAATATTTCCTGCACAATAATCGTAATCAGTTATTTTACTTTGACTTAATTAGGATAGTAGATTTACGGAAGTCCTTTACAGTGGTAACACTATGTGATGCTACGTAACGCAATACACTACATAAACAGCAAGGAATACTATCGAGTCGGGGAGGCATGAAGTTTAAGTTAAAATGTAGTATGGAAAAACATTTACAAAGGAATGTTGCAATCAATACAACGAAACAGAACTTATTCAGCAAGAAAAACAGCTAACATAATTAGCAAATGTTGTAGCTCTGAATATTTTTTATTTCTATTGCATGAAACAGATTTTCACATTTTCAACCTTTCCTTGAAAAATTGTCTGATCCCTCTCTAGTGTTCTTATTCATTTATGGACTTGTGGGTAAATTGATAAGAGGAACAATCTTTTGCTACACAGTTTTCCGACAGTTTTGTCACACCCAAAAAAAAATACGCGAATAAATTAAATTTCTGTGTTGTACTAAACTAAAAATTTGGATCCTTTGGTTGCATAGAGACCCACCTGGGCGAGAAAAGTTATTCAGTTTATGAACAAGGCTACGTATAGCTTCAGACCAAGAGGACATTTTGCAATCGTTTGCGAAGGATTGGTAACGACGAAATGTCAGTCAACCGTGTCGCACGTGTCAGAATCGAAATAAACAGATACAACAAGGTCACTAGAGCAACACACGTAAGAACCGATGGAAAGTGGTCAGTCGTGACAAAATATATAAAGGGGCATTAAAGAGGCATCAAAGAGGCATGTCAGAGAACAGTCAAGAGTGCTCAAACAACCACCAAGACTCAATAATGTTGTCTTTACTGCAACGAAGCGTTAAAGCGAAGGAACATTCTCATTCGCCGTACAGTAAGTTTCGTGTTGGTGCAGCGTTGTTGACCGACACAGGAGAAATCATAGATGGCTGTAACGTGGAAAATGCAAGTTATGGTTTGTCGATCTGTGCAGAGAGAACTGCTCTGGTCAAGGCAGTGAGTATGGGGTTTAAAAAATTCCTAGCAGTTGCCGTTAGTACTGATATGGAAGAGTTTATCGCTCCTTGTGGAGCGTGTAGACAATTTATTTCGGAGTTCGGATCAAGTTGTGACGTGTATCTTGTTAAGCCGGATCTGTCTTACAAGAAAATCAGTATTTCAGAGCTGTTACCATTAGCATTTACATCTTCAGAGTTAGAGAGGGCAAGCAGGACAAAATGACTTTGATTCACCACAATTTATTGGACAAAGACAACGAGAACGGATCATTACGCAACATGACCCCTAGCATGTATGATTAACGAGACGTTCATTGGTTTATGTGAATATTTGCACGCGGGTTTCACTTAAGACTTTTCACTCCAGAGAAAAGTGGTTTAACGAGGTTAGTTGTAACAAATCACTGCACAGTGATTAACTTAAATTAGTACTTCACATGAGGACTGGTTTTTAAACTAATGCCAATCGTTTCACGTTGTTTTCCTTTATAAATGGACCGGTGTCCCAGTGATATGTGTACCCCCGTGATATGTGTACCCCCGTGATATGTGTATCCCCGCACACGTATCACTAATGATATGTGTATCCCCGCACACATATCACTAATGATAAGTGTACCCTCGGTGGGAATACACAAAACACTGAAGCTTTGTACCCGGGCCTCCAAAGGCTTCAAGGAAAACATGGCAGTTACGAGGGACAGATTTTGTGGGTTTATATTTTATATACATCAAATCCTTTTGAATTCATCATTAAAAGGGGCTTCTATGTTGTTGTGGTTTTTTATTTTGAAATCTGTACGGCCCTGGTTAACCAAGTCCTTATCAGGGCAACCAAAGTCTGGGTTGTCCAGTATTTTCAATTTTTTAAAAAAATTTTAAACAAATTTTTAAATATAGACTAGTGAGCAGCACTTCTGCAAACAGTAGTTGTAAAACTGTTTTTATTTTCCAACGCGTTTTGTCTAACTGTCGTAGACTTCTTCAGGGAGTTTTATGAGTATAACTAAATGCCTATATTTATAAGCCAGAGTTACCAGGTCTGATGACCGTAGAGGCTTGGCCGGACTTACGAACAGGAACAAGCGAAGTTGTGAAAAATTTTAAACGTGTAAGGCAAGGTGAGAAAAATTATATATTTTGGGGGCCACGGTTTAGCTAAAACCATGGCCCCCAAAAAACTCTCAGAAGAAGTTTACGACAGTTAGACGAAACGTGTTCGAAAATAAAAACAGTTTTGCAACTACTGTTCGCAGAAGTGCTGCCCACTAGGCTATATTTAAAATTTTTTCCAAAAGCTCCCCAAAGAAGTCTACAGCAGTGATAGTTAGACGAAACACGTCGGAAAATAAAACAGTTTTACAGCTACTGCTTGCAGAAGTGCTGCTCACTAGTTTATATTTAAAAAATTTATTAAAACATTGTTCATTGACGCAAGTTAGCCGTAATTATTTATTTTTTGGAGGGGAGGGGGATGGGGGATACATATATCACTGGCTGCCATATTGAAGGGGGTACACATATCACTGCGACACCAGAATATTTTTGTTTGATTAGATTATTTTGAAGTAAAATATCCAGTGCTGGCCTTCGTGACATTGCTCACACATACAGCATTTAGAAAACGCTTTGGCAAATTTGAAGGTGGTACGCACCGAATCAAACTATGGCATCCAATTTGAATTGCCATTGTTCTGGACTGACTAGCCTCTCACAGATGTGATAATCCTTTTGTGTTTCCACATCAAAATGAGGCTAGTAAGTCCAAAACAAACAGAACATGTTTTTTTTCTAACATAAGACAAAACTGGCCCTTAGAACTTACATGCTACATGTCATTTATTGAGATCATTGATTGAGAAGTCTAATTTCCCCATGTCAGAAGACTGTCGTTCGTGGCAGCAACAGTGAAAAAGTTATTGTCAGTGAAGTGTTGTCAGTCTGGTTCACTGGTAATTCATTAAAACGACTCACGACTCATTCATGATATTTTACACAACTAATGAACCAAACTGAATGACCTAATAATAAATATTGTTGACAGAATGAAACTGACCAATCACGACTGACTTATGCTTCTGGAGTCTTACAGCCAAAAACATTGTGGCTTCACCAATCAGTTTATATGAACCAGACCTTGAACTCTTTCACTTGACTCTGATAATGACTTTTGCAAACGTTTTCAAAATGTCAGTCACCAGTATGGACAACAGTCCATCTCAGGATTACTCTCGTTCAGATGATCTGATTACATGATCTACAGGATTACATGAAACTTTGAGAAAATTGTATCTTAGTGAGCTGATTACTGAACTCATAAGATCAAGCAGTTTGTTGTACAAAGTAGTTCATTTTAGGACTTTTGAAAGAAATCCAATATTACCTGGCTTTGCTATACCATGCCTTGTAATTCTTAAAAAATCTTACATCATTTTCTCTGCAGTTCAGACTAAAATGAAGATTTTGAGATTTACTCATCTTTAAGCCATCATTTACTTTGGGTTCTTACAGGTTTCCTCTGGTGTTTCCCTACAAACTGCCATTGAAAACACTTTGGTTCTATTTTTGCAACTTGGATTGTTTGACATTATGTTTATAAAGGAGGGTCTGTTATTAAAATAATTTGCATAATATATATTTGAAGGTATTTAAACATGATATGAATATTTTAGCACAATTTGAAAGATCTACTTCATAAAAAAAGCATTTTAAAAACATAGTATTGTAAAGTATTTAAAAAAATAGTAATCATAATCTTATTAGAACCAAAATAAAGCAATGTGTTCAGGAAAGTGTCATTCTTAGTAGTAATGAAAGTAAAAAGGTCTTTTGAGACAGTGCATGGATTAATTAGAATAGAATCAAGGTAGTTGAAAATGGAGGGTAAGGGAAATACTACTACAAGTATATAGGAAAATTCAGTATAAAATATAGACAAGATTGGGCCAGTTGGCACTGTGGTTTACTTTCAAGACAAAAGAGGTCAAGATGTATTTCACAACACTGAGAACTCTATTTTGAATTCATATGAAATCCTTGGAACACAATACTTGACAAGTGTATCAGCATAAACTCTTTAAACCCTAAGAGTGACTCATTTCTCTGTACAGTATGACCCCCTGAATCACCAGGATGATGGAAATGATCAAAAACTACAACAGCTCTTGATTGTTAAGCTTATTTTCCCAGCCAGCACCTTAGCAAATATATTGAGAACAATAGCCATTCATTTAGGGCCTGTCATTCATTAGCATATTCCATTTTCAGTTTGAGCTCCAAAAAGTTAAATTTTGATCAAAAGAGGAAGCAAAACTTTCAAAAATATTCAGAAAGCAGGCAATGCAATTGTCATTCATTTATTTCATTAATCACACCTGATGGTCTTAAAAAATGCTGTTTTTCTTGTACATCTCACAAAGAACCTGCCAAACAGGCACAGAAGACTTGCAAGACAAAACCATTGATTACATGGGGAAATGGGAACTAAAAAGCGTAACCAGGTTGAATAAATAAGTAAAATAACTAATGGAAAGAGAGTGTTATGCAAATGTATCTAATAGGCAATAGAGTGATCACATTATCTTGCTCAAGTGGTTACTATCATCATTATTTACTGAAATTGCCACCTTAACTTTATTTCTCTCTTGAAAATTACATCCTGAATCCCACAGTCACTGTGATATAACAATGATGCAATTTATGACTGGTGTCTTTATAGAACATTTAATTTCTCTAATGTATCATTTGAGTAATGCAGGCTTTTACTGGAATCAAAGAGAGTGTTTTGGCCAACATTGCTTGGTCTAACTGTTCCTGTATCCTTTTCCAAGTTACTGTACATAATTCAGTCCTTTTCCATGACAAATATCCACTTAAGTTAGAGGTCCTTTGGATTCATAAAGGCCAGTGGTCACTGTTGTTATGGACTAAATACGGTACACTTCACAAAAATGATGCGGAAATCTTACTCCTTTATAGCCTGACCATAAAATTTTAAACTTGGCTCTCCAATCTTTGAAGCTGCTCAAGAAGAAACAAAAAAGATAATCAAAACTTATTTTCAAAAAAAATCTTAAATAGCAACAACAACAAAACAAGACACAAGTGTTTCACCTCCTGCTCTTGATCCTTCTCCTTAGATTTTAGTTCTTCGAGAACTTTCTCAAATCGTTGCTACACAAAGGAAAAATTAAGATCATATTAAATTACACGGGGGCTGATTCTGTCCATTCACTTCACCCATTCCCTCTATGATGTTTTCCTCATCCATCTCTTGACTTCTCTATGTTTGTAACCTTTTTTACTCTTTCTACATCTTCTTGTGGCTGAGATTATCCATTCCATTGGCCAGCCTTTTTTTTGAGTTATTATAAAAGTTCCCAAGAAATAAAACTGAGAATGGAAAATCTTAATAATGAAGTGGGAGGACCTACCTACTCTCCACTTACAATTCTTTGCATTTTTCATTTTAGTTGGCTGGACCAGTCTTATTGAGCCATCTCCCTTATTTGAGCCTATTTAAGCTCATCAAGAAGTTAGTCAGTGAGTTTTAGGTATGAAAATGTTTTGTTCTTGCAACTGTAGGGTTTACCTTTACACTGAGCTACAAGAAACTAAATGGAAAATTAAGTCCAAAAGGATCCTAATTGTATGCAATATTTGACAAAAACTGCCCAGGATAGAGTGCTGACATGCTCTAGCTGGTACCTTGAGGAATAAGTTGGAAGCTTCTTTCACCCTGGTTTCCTGCTCTGTTATAGTTGCCCTGATCTCAATAAGCTTCTCTCTTGCAGATTGTATCTTGGACTTAGAATTGTTTTCACCAACTGCAAATTCAATAAAAGAAATAAAAAACCTTCAAAGCACATTTTTCTAGGGTAAATTTGAAACCACCTCCACACTTCATCAACAAGTTTTTAACAGTCATACTATTAGGATTTGCCATCTGATAAACAAAGATATTTAACATTGCAACCAAAGATAAAAAACAGACAAGGAAGTGGGCCGAGTGTGACATTAAAACTGGGAAATGTAGGAATATCAGACAGACAAACATACTATTAGCCAGGAAGTTGGGCCAGATCCTTCCACAAAATGGCCAAACAAATACACTAAAAACAGAAAATGTATAATTGTTTCCCAAATGAACACATTTACAAGGAAACACTGACAGAGTTTTAATTTTGTTGATGGATTTGATTTTGCTGATTGGCAACAGTAACAGTAGACTTACCATTTAATTCAGTTGTATCATCTTCAATGTCTACATTAACATTTAAATCATCTGCGTCATCTTCCTGTGTATCAACAGCATCCTCATCACCTTCTGGCTCCTCATCACTACTGGCTTCCTGGAGAATGGCAAACAGTTCATTTCTGTCCTCATCTTCACTACCTCCATCTTGCTCCTCAGTTTGTGTTAAAGATAGAGGTGAAGGCATTGAGGTGTTCAGTAAATCAGCATCTGATACAAAACTATATCAAGACAGTTAAATTAATATTACACAGCAGCAGCACCAGTGAGAAAGTTATCTGCCTAGAGCTAGATGAAATACCTCACTGAAAGATATTTACAGTGCATATAACTGACAAATTTGATTACAGCTAAATTGCTTTGGTATACCACATACTTGAGAGAGCAATTCCCTTTTAGTCCCTCCAGGGAGTTGAGGGGTTAAAATATCTAAATCATTTCATACTTTAACTTTTATTTTTTCTGTACAAAGAGTGTTCATGCATGTAATAATGTCAGCAGTACTTACCTCTCATCTTGTTTCTCTTCGTCTTGTAACACCTCAAAACGTAAAGAAAGTTAAGGAACAATACTCTTTGTTATCAATACCACCAATTGTAATTACCGGTATATATGACCACATTAGGTAACTTTGAATACTAGTAAGAAACACCACAAACTTATCACAAAAACCATACAGCACAAGAGATTAGGAAACTGCCTCCACTCACAATGTAGCTAAAGTGTACTAATTTATACACTCCTGCTAAAGGATTCACATATTGAGAGGCTGCTGGGTGGATAAATCTCTAATGGACACTAAATTTGATCATTTTTTCTTTCTTGGGGACTGATCATACTGTAGTTATCACGATGTTCTATCTTTAGCTTGGTAATTAAGAGTACGGTAAAGGTAACGAATCTGATCCAACCGACGCGTCGGCCAACACGTTGACCAACGCGTCAGCCGACACACTACCGACACACCACCGATGTGTCGGCCGACACACCACCGACGCGTTGGCCGACAATACCAACGCGTTGGCCGACACACTACCGAAACAACGGAAAGAAAAAATAGCTTTACCTGCGATGATACGGACGAATACTTGGCATCAGGGTGTTTGCGTATGAAGCAAGAGCGTCAGCCGACACACTACCAAAGTGTCGGCCGACGCATTACCGACAAACAAAAACAAACAATTGTAAACCTGCGATGATACAGCTAATTACTTTGCATGTGAAGCATGGAATTAATCGGAAAAATAGTTAGCAGTCAGGACACAAAGGCTCCTTTAGGAGCCACTACATACAAAAAAGGAAATGACCAATGAGTTAGTAATCTCTGAATTAACCGACGCGTCGGTGAATTTACCGAAGCGTAGTAAACTTGCCGACACATTTGACGTTATTTTTGTCGGCGAATTTATCTATATGGAAGTAAGTTCACCGACATATCGGCATTTTCATATTGTAATAATTAGAGCCCCAAATGGTTACATCATAACTCATTCAAACCTGATTAGTGCCCAGTCTGAATAGACTGAGTAATGAAATTCGGGGTCTGGGTCGAGAAAATACGACATAAAATGGCGTCGACGAACGTACTCGTTACGTTTATAGTGCAAGGAAAATTACTTATCCTATACTTAATCCAGATGATAGAAGACAACGGGAAAATTTGGCTTAATCCATCTTCTCAAGGTATAAATAAATGAGAGAAAGTCACCGACGGACCACCGACACAGCCTATTTTTCCACTGGGAAACCCGCTGCCAACGCGTCGGTCGACAGTCGGCCGACAGTCAGCCGACTGTCGACCGACACGTTGGCCGATGCATCGGTTGGATCAGATTCCTTACCTTACCCTAAGAGTACACCCACAGGATAAGTAAATTTGATGAAAAGGATATTCACATGAGAGGCACTCAAATCAGTCCTTAACAAACGCTTGACCTCCTTTTCAACTTCTGGTGACTCCACAATCTATTTAAAAAATACTGGTTTAAGGCTTAATGAATAACCACAACCTATAGGTGTGTTTCATGTCAGCTACAAAGAAAAATGATTAATTATACATTGCAGGGAAACAGGCAAAACAAAATGCAAGGCATAGTTCAAAATAATTACTTCATTATGGCCATTAGCTCATTTGGTGTACACAGACTCCAGCATTACTGAAGTATCAAGTACGGCCATATATTTTCTGTGAAACAAAGCCACAGAAAACACAGCTACGAGCATACTAAAAGGTATGAAAGCAAACAAGGCCTGGAAAAAATTCAGACCCATATGGGATTTTAACCCATGACCTCTGCAATACCAGTGCAATGCTCTACCAACTGAGCTAGCAAGCCAACTGGGAGTTAGTCATTATCGATGTTGGTTCCTATTATACCCATCTAAGTGACAACAATGAATTTGAATATATGAAAATCGTATTATATGTAATGCAGTTTCATGAAATGTGTAAAAGTGATCTTCACAGTAATGAACCCTACTTATGTGGTAGTGGAAGTAAGACCTGAAAAAAATTCAGGCCTTTACGGGATTTGAACCCATGACCTCTGTGTTACTAGACTAAGTGCGATACCAGTGCAGTGCTCTACCAACTGAACTGATTTTTTCAGACCTTATTTCCACTACTACATATTAAGTAGGGTTCATTACTGCGAGGAGTTCATGAAACTGCAGTGCACATAATTATATGATTTTCATAAATTCAAATTCATTAATTGATACTAAAAAGTGTTTAGAAACAATATTCTACACCTTCTACCTTCCACCAGCCCCTTCATGTCCAGTGCTAACATTTGTTTGCATGATACATGTATGGTGATGAAAGTTTGATTGTACCCAACAAAACAATGAGCTAAGATGATTGAAATTTGTAATTTCGTAGTAAATAATACATTAATTTATTCGCCAATCCATCAACAATTTTAGCATGTCTTATTACCACTAGAACAAACCTTTTTCTTTGCAGTTTTTCGAAATCTTCGTTTGCGAACATTCTTCAGTGGACCAGTAACTTGAGGGATTAAGAGATTCACCAAAGTTAGTGCATTTCACAATCTCAGCAAAGCATCAGAAAAATGCTGAAAATTACATGAACTCTAACAATGACCTCAGCTTAAGTTGTTCCAACATCAGTCATTCAACCAGCTACAACAGTCCTTTTCCAACTCTTTTCACATGAAGGCTCAGGAAACTCACTCATCAAAAAATAATCATAACTGGACATACTTCCGTGATTCCAAATAAATCTCTTAGACTCCTTCTTGGGAGAAATGTCTTCATCATCTGTTTGGTTATCATCCTCACAACAAACTAACATCTAAAAAACAAATGACAAGACAAGTGCTTCATATATACCGGTACATGTTAATATAGATATCTAATACACTGTATACAGTTACAGGTATCTACAGAAGTGATGTACTTTGTAAAACAAAAAAAGTATTGAGAGATCAGTAGTTATCGAACCAAAAGTTACCACTTACAGTACTACATACAACTAAAATATAACTTAGCTGATCAGTAATCACCTGGGAATTGAAAATTTTTAAAGGCTGATGGGTCAAGTATTAGCTCTATTTTGCGACACCAGCTTTTTAAACTTTACTTTCTCATAATGATGTTCATTCAGTGCTCAGTCATATAGTTTTGAAAATAAATATGCATTTAAAATATGTTAAATATGTATATGTTATTGACCAGCGGGAGGTCCGTATTAGGAAAAACTGTGCCCGAGGTCTTGGATACTGCCCTCAGCCTATGGCCTCGGGCGGTACTGACAAGACAGAGGGCACAGTTTTTCCCAATACGGACCGACCTATGCTGGTCAATAACATTATTATTTTTTTCTAACACATAAAAAGAATGATTGCCATAAGAACCCAAATGATTTAGGGCCACAATTACCAGTTTAATTACGGGAAAATCCTCCATAAACTCAACAATTTGTTAGCAAGTGGATGATAAAGAAAACAGACATCATGCAAATGAAAGAGGAAGCTTTCACCAAAACATTTTTATTTGTAAAGGTAACTTAAAAGGCTTCCGAGCAAAATTTGAAACATTTTTGATAAGTAACTGTCATAATGTGAAACCTGTCAATTGACAAGGAAAAAAGCGCACGTGTTTGAATAACAGCACTGTATGACAAACACGCACAAGTTAAATGACAATGGGATGATCTTCTCGTAAAAAAGAAAGCACTCGGAGATCTTACGTAAAGTATTGTTTATTTCCAACGATGATTAATCTCTGAAGACTTACCTTTGTTCCGTTTTAAAATGTCATGGAAAGTCAAATTGTAAGTGAGTACAAATGTTTGTTTTGGAGTTGTCAGTCTGCTTGTTTGTTTTCTGTAATGGTATGGGTAAATCGGTTATTCTTCCACCAAAAAGCTGAAGTCAATGAGACTCTTTCCAGCTAGACACAAAGGGATTTAATGCGACTTATATTCATCAAATTCCTTCAGCTACTGTTGTGAAATCTACGGTAGTAATGTCCAAATGCAAGGGACTTGCAAAGAATAGGCGAAAGTGTATTTATAGAAGAACTCAAAACTTCGCTTAACGTTTCACAAATGAACAAATTGCGTTGAAGAAATTCAGATATTAACGATTGAGAGTCACATTGATTAACATAATTGTCAACTGCAACTACCTCTCATTTTAACTTTCTGAGTGACTTTTTGGGAAGGATTATTGAATTACATATTGTTTCTTGGCCGCATTTCAATCTTTTTAAAAACAAATTTAGTACCACACAATTTATTTTAAAATCAATTTTTGTGGAAAAACCAAAGTGATTTGAGAGTGAGAGAGAAGAAAGAATCACTATTATTTATCGCCAAAAGGTCGTGACCGAAGTCTTTGCTTAAAAATTATGCCCAGCCGGCAAAATGAGATATATTTGTGAAAAATTGCAACGAAGCTTGAGATGTTCTGCAAAGTGACTCAAGCAAAACGGATACCACCCGCAGGCTGGATGGGGAAAATAATGCCTACTCTCGGAACCAATCAGATTGCACCATTTGTAGAATAACGCCCGCTCACGAACTATGAAAAAAATTAATAAAGGCTGATAGTTTCGAAAGAAACTGTTTGGGGCTGCGTCGGTGGGAGTAACGAAATAATTTGGATATATCAACAAAGTTGAAATGGTAAATTAGCCACTGTAATGATTACAAAAGCTGACGTTTCGAGCGTTAGCCCTTCGTCGGAGCGAATAACAAATAATTATTCGCTCCGACGAAGGGCTAACGCTTGAAACGTCAGCTTTTGTAATCATTACAGTGGCTAATTTACCATTTCAACTTTGTTGATATATCCAAATTATTATGAAAAAAATTATATGTATTTATTGAGTGAGTGGGAAAAAGACTGAAAAATATTTGGCTCAAGATCATGATGTATGGACTGTGTGCACCTAAGTTCAAGCTTCATGACCAAGAGCCAAATATTTTCCTGTCTGGCCCAACCTAACTCAGTCAATAGGCATTTTATCATATGACCACCAGGTGTTGAAAATTCCAACTAAATAGGACACAATCAACGGGTACATGCAGCCAAACCAGCTTGCTCATGTCATCCCATCTGGCCCTGTCAGCTTTCACTATCATTATGGTTTTCTATGGGATTGCCCGAGCAGGGCCTGATGAATCTTATGACAAATGTTACTATCATGTTAATCTAACAAATTTAAAGAAAAGATAAGTAAAGAAAAGCATCAGATTTAACGGGTTGTCAGACTGTACCAACTCTGGGCTGGTAAAGTTCAGAGTGGTTGAAGCACAAATATATCAAGAACTACCAACATAGTTTTGTTCAAATGACCATCTTTGTTTTTACTTTGTAGAGATGAACAATGGAGATTTTTATAATGAAACCTGCATACCTGACAGATGTCTGCTGTCTTGTAAAGGCTCCTATTGTCCACTGTCTTGTGAGATTCTATAATACATGGCAGATCCACTAACTACCAAAAAGAAAAGCATGCAAGGTCATTATCGATTTCCACATCCAGTAAAAGGCTACTTCTATCAGGTCCAAACAAAGTTATTCTGACTTTTGATCATGCACACATTTAAAAGAAACCACACTTTAAGAGACTGTTCAGACCCAATCTCACTGCAATATTAGTAAGAACAAAATGATAATACAATGAAATTGTTGTTCCAAAATCATATCAGATTTGGAAATTTTTAGGGATTTCTAAAAGTCTGGAAGTTTACTAGTTTCTGCAGCATCCTCAAGAACCAAAAAATAAATAAAACCCATGGTGATAATCAAATCAAAATAAAAGGTATAATCTTACTTTAGCTGATAGGGCTGCTCCATCAAATCTGACTGTTGCATGTCTGAAGTCAGCTGTAAAAAATGTCAAAAATGAACAATGCCTCAGTAGACTGACTTTATGACATTATCTGACTTAAAACATGAGAAACATGGTGCTCTCAAATATCATTAGTTACTATTTACACTAGAAACAGAAAATCTAAGAAGTCATAAAATACTCTGAATAGATATAAATGTACTCAAACTGTATATCAAATATATTTCAGTCAGACCCTAGGAGCTAAAGGGTTACAAGAATCGATTGTTAAATAAGTAATAGAAGTATAAAACACACTGATGTGTATCTGTGGATTGATATTAATGGCTTTTACCAATATAACCAATTAATAGTCACTTGTAAATACAATTTACAACAACAGTTACTTAATTTGCTGTAATCTGACCTTGAAGTTCGATTGAAAGTCTATCCTTCAGTGAACCGTTTTGAATTGCCAGGCGCAATGGAGAGGCATATGCCTAATGATTTAACACAAATATTTTTTACCTATCTTGTTACATGGTTAAAATTACTACTTAGAGAGGGGAGCCGGAAAGATTTTCGTGTAACTCCACATCATTAAAAAAAAGCTCGTAATTCATTGTTTTCTTTATCAAAGAATTGCATGCTTAATCTGGGGTTATACCAAAGTGTAACTAACGAGCTTGTTTAAATTTGGAAAAAGAGGGACAAGCTCCACAAATAATTCAATAACTACAAATTCTGGTGCACTTGTTGGTTGAGATTCACTGTAAATACTCGTCATAAAGATGTTTTTGCTCTGTTCGTACACCCTTCTGGAAAATACTCCCTATATACATCTAGTTGACCCCATTTCGGTCGGAATCTAAAATAATTCCGTGTTGCTCTGTCACAATTTTGACAAGGTAAGACTAGGAGGTTTAACAACTACCGCTGACTTATTTTACCTGAGGAACACGTAAAATAATCTGGTTTTCTAAATCGCTTCCGTCACCCCTTGACTTCGAAGGTACCTGAGACATGACAATCAGTCCGCCATTACAGAGTTGAGAGTAGTGTACTTCCCAGTCCCTCAGCCAAGTATGAGTCTCGTGAACGCTTCAGAACAGAGATCGGACGACTTTGGTCATAGTACAGTTGTCTGGAACATTTTTCAAGCATCCCACAGTGAGGGACTTATAGGATTTCGGATTTTAATCGTAATACTTAACTTTTAATTCACTATTAGTTAGGTGTCCACAATTAGTTTACGTAAATGTAAGCAAGATCTACCCGATACGTTAATAAAGTTTTTATCTTATCTTTATCTTATCTTCTCCAACCTATTTCAAGGCTGAAGGAAATACGGAGAAGGAAAAAGTATAAACTGAGTGTAACATTGGCAAACGCTCAGGGTTTTAACCTGGAGTTGGATTTTTCATAGAGAGGCTTTCACAACCTTTCTCTCATCTAAATGTAGATTACCCTTTCGATCCTTCATTAAAATAATCCCTTCTAAGCAACGTTTGCTCACATTTTTGTTTAATGGGTTTACAAAAGCCATTTTCGTATGATCCTTTATTTGTTGAGAATTTGACGATTTATTTTTCTTTTCTTTAATTTTGCTATAAATTTGTTATGTAGGCTGGTAAGTTTACAAGCAGAATACAGAAGAGATGGTACATCGAAGTTTGGTTTGAAGTTTATTTATATATTCATAAATACATAGCAGTTAAAAGACTGAATTGTGTATTTACTCACATAATATAGAAGTAAAATTAAACTAATTTAGATATTAACTACTTAGTTATTAAAAAGCGTTCAATCGGCTAAAAAAAGGAAAGCTAAAATGAGTTCGCTTTACGACATGAGGAAATAATAACACTATTCTTAAAACGACTGGTTTTGAAGCGTTGTACATTAAAGGTCGCACACGCCTTAACAAGTAGGTAGTTTCATGTGCTGCTGGTATTAACTTTTGAAGACGGTAATTGTTGTCATTTACAATTTTGTCGAAAAGTGACTCACATATTTCGTCGTGATGGATGGCTAATTCTTTAAATTTCATAATATCCAGGGCCTC